CATCTGCTGCACCAGCTCACGGCATCTGACGCCTTCCCTCGCTCCTCTGAGCCTCTTTACGAGACTTGTTCCTGCCAAGCCAGGCCTATAAATCCCAATGCTGGGAAAATAACCCTCCCTTCTCTCCTTGAGGTCTCGATGCCACACCACATGATGCCAGCTTGTTCCGTCTTCTTGATGCAGCTCAGTCTTTGTCTCTCAGCCTGGGGAGAATTAGAAACAAAATCTTGGGTTTATCTTGGCATGGCATGAACCCCTTTGTCCATGTCTTCTGAAGGCAGCAACCAGGGGTCTCTCGCGGTTTTGGATTACAGGTCAGCCAATACCTTGTTCTTGACCACTGACCAACTCTGGCTAGAGCTGAGGTCCAGAACATCTGCCGAACCTCTGGTTGTCCAAGCCCAGTCTGCTTATTTACTGATCCCTCATATCAGTGAAATGTGTTAATCCCTCAGTGCCAGCAACTCTTTGTTGTGTTTCCAACCTTATGTTGCTTAGAGAGCCACCCAAATTTAAAGAGTTTTAAGGTGAACACCTACAGAGTTTCACATGCCCATGTTGCACCAAACAAGAATATCTTAGCAACTGCATTTCTACGTGTTTTGCTCCAGGGAGTTGCAACTGGCTGCCTCTGTAAATTAGACCAGATGAAAAGCCTACATTTGCCATCATGTCAGATACAACCCTATACTATCTGAGATTAATCTGGATTTAATCCTTCGCAACCATACCATTTGAACTGCTTCTTTCGCCATGCCTACCCACTCATCTCTCTGGCTCAATCTGTTTTATTTCTGTCTGTCAATCCAATCGACCTTCTTCCTGGATATCTAATCTTGTGCATGCTACCTATTGATTTCTAAATGCAGACACAACCATATTTATGTGAGGGTCTCCATGCAACCTGTTAACATCCATTAAACGTTTGGTTCAAGAGAACAGCAGCTATTCAGGAATCAGTGGGTTTAAGGGTGGTCAAGAAAGGTATTTAACTGAGTCCTGCAGCCAGCAGGAGAATCCAGGCCTTTTCTGATCTGCTCATTCCTAAGTTTGCAGGGTAAACACAACCTGGCCAGGTCCTTGGGTGAATTTACTCTGTTCCCCTTAAGTATCTATTTGTTTTGAAGCGCCTTCGCCTTGCCTTTCTTAACAATTCTATCCAGGCAGATTACAATAAAGCTCAGCAGCCCTGCCTCCCTCCAATCCAATGGCCAGCAAAACTGTAAAATCGGGACGAAAAGCCCTCACCTGGACATGGGGTAAAGACAGTGACGTGGTTCCGTAAGAGGCACTGCTTTTGGGGGATTAGCCCAAGGCCCACTGTTACCACAGAATGGTGGGAGGGAGCTGGAGGAAGTGTTGGGAAGATCTACATGGCATGTGTGGAAAGAGAATTCCTTCTGAGCCAGTTTCTCTAGGATCAGATGATTCAAAAATCTTCACAAGGCCTGAGGCTTCCACTCTTGCAAGCCAGAGTGTTTTTATTCCATTTGCTGTGGATCCCAGTTTAATCAGTACTGCTGGCTGGGTTGAAGGACCTGGGTAAAATGTTCTGTGAAGCCCCTTCAACCTGTAACAACTCTTGTCCCTTCTGCATGCTTTCCTTCTGGATGGCTTCACCCAGGGCTTTGCACCTGCCTTCTTTTATTAACTGGCAGGTTGAAAGTGGTACCTGTATCTACCTAAACTCATCATGGAAGGAAGGTGTCGCTGTTCCTCCCGTTGCATGACAGGAGGGAGATGGAAGAGGGGAAGGATATTGAGGCTTATGAAAACTGCAAGAAGTCCCTTCTGCACTCAAGCATGTAACTACTAGCTACCTTGGTGTCTTCTTCTTGCTCTTCATCATGGTGAAGAGGCTGAAGCTATGCCATGGGGTTAAAGCTTAGGAGGAGCCAATGAACACACAGCTCTATCCTACAGCAGGCCAACCCACTGCTCCATTCAGCCCAGCACTGAGAAGTGACCAGTCCACAGCTTTTGCACACAGAAGACCTTGCGGTCCATTTCGGTCAACAGCTATAAACAAGAAGATGCAGTAGCAGGTGATGTAGAAAATCTCTGACTGGGATTTCTTAGCCAATCCCCATGTGGGCCAAAGGCGGCTTGTGGCATTCTCCGCCTAATTCCAAATCGGAGGAAATTTCAAAGTGAAGAAAAGCAATGCGTGGAATTGGCCTGGATCTGCTGTGTGCAACAGATCTGTCCTATGGATCTGCTATGACTTCAGATCTGTGGACAGACTAGGAGAAAGTGGACAAATCAGAAGGAAGATTGAGAAATCATTTAGGACCAGGAGAAGCAAGTTTTTCCTTTATTTTAAAAAAGTAAGGAACCTTAAACCTGCTTGAAATCAAAAGGTTTTGTGTATGAATGTTTGTCCTGTTCTTCATCTTGACTTTTTTGCCCTCTTCCCTGCAGAACCCCCTGCTGGACAGCCTTGCTGTCTTGGTTAATCTGCCTGGCCCAAATGCCATGAAGTTGCTGTTGTTTTTACATGCTGAAAGAGAATGAGGAATGAGGACAGTTTGTTTCTTAGCACCCTTCACATGTCCAAAAATGTTCCTCAGTGACCATTAATTGTCAGTGTTGAGCTCAGAGGTTTATTCAGAAAATACCAGAGTTGAATAGGACTCACTTGCAAACAAGTGTGCAAAAGATGATCAGCCACAAGTATGTCTTCAGACCTCTAGAGCCCTTTTATTTGGATGGGTGTTGATTCAGAATATTTTTTTAAAAAGTTAGGTTAACCGTGCTCCTTCTCCTTCTACCAGCAGCTTGGTTCTCGATCAGTACTGCAGATCCAGTTGCCCTTAAAGGTGCAGTGGAAAAAAAAAAATCAAAACATTGGCATTACTGTACCCATTTCTCAAGGGTTGGCTCCAGAAAAAACCTAGTGAAGGATCCGTGGTTATCCATCCACACGCCTCACCAGCGGGCCTCTTTGGCACAGAGTTTCAGCTCTAGGGGTGGGCGGAGAAAAAGACATGAAAACCCCCAATCTTCTTTGAAATCCAAGCTGATGCCTTCGCTCCTGGCAAGAGGAAAATATGCAGTTTGCTCTCTAAGACAACACCGGATGGCTTTTCCATGAAAACACCTTGACTCACCCCCTCCTTTATCCCTCCCTCCTGCCCCAGCATCACTATTTCCGAATACCAAAAGACCTTTTTTTCCTTACCTCATGGCAAAGGCGCCGGGATGACTCTGTTGCAGGATAGGAGTTCCCTAACCCAACAATCTTTCCCTCTCTGCCCTGCCTGCCAAGCAGACATATGTTTAGAAGCTCTGCCAGATGTTTCACAGGGGCACCTCTAGGCCATTCCTTAGTTGCCTCTGATTTCCCTCCAGATCCAAGGCAGGGTGTTTTCACACCTAGCACAACCTTCAGAAAGTCCCCTGCAGTCCCCCACCTTCATAAAATGAACATAGGCACACTTAGTCTTAAAACGTTTGCTCTCTGCCCTGTACAAGCTGCATTCACACATCCAGACAAATGCACCTCACAGAGAAGCAGGATTTGGGGTGAGGGTGGGGTTCTTGCTTAGTACGTAAGGCAGAGTTTGGGGTACTATGAAAGGCCATCAAATGCTTCAGTTTCACGTTCGTATTACCTTTTGGGGGCACTATATAAGAGACTTTGTTCTTCTGTTGTCTTTTCACATCACTTTGGATCATTCACGATCAACCAGCCTCAGTGTGACTGTGACTCATCTATAAAATGGCAGTAATAGCATTAACTTGGCTACTGAATTAAGCCACGGTCTAGGTTTGCACCCTACACTCATCAAAATGAGCTGGCTTCACCCAGCGTGCAAAGCCACACAGAATAATGTAGTTGAGGCTAACTCTATTAACATGTTGTGTGAATGGATCTGCTAAGACTTGACTTGACCTGGTGAAGGGTGTTGGGTGAACATAGCCATAGAATATAGCAGTATCACAGGATTTGTTTTGAGTAGACTTAATTAGGAGCTTAAAGAATTTTGAACTAGGAACTGGCTGCAGGGATTAGATCACCCCAAGGCCCCAGACAAACACACACACACACGTACACAAATATTTTAAAATATTCCTTGACACTTCTCTCTCACCCAGTGAAAGAAAGAGGTCTTTTGAAGAAGGAATGTTGAGGCGGGGGTGGGGGCTAGATTCCAGAAGAAAAAATGTGTATAAACTAACATTTTATTTTGCAGGCACTACGTTAATCCATCAACGTGACAGAGAAAAGGACATGGCTTGAAAAGAGTTTCACTTGACAAAAGTGCAGGGAGATAGGCCTTGAACGCTTAGCCTCTGAGGATGAAAGGGCCTGAGATGAATGGAGAAGGGCGCATACAGGGTTATGCATTAAACCCACTTGGCAGGTCAATTATAAACCTAGGGGTGGCATTAGATAACTTACTTACTACCTTTAGTTCATTATTTGTGGCCAAGTCTGTTTTGCAAACCCACCACTCAATGTACTGTGTGAAATCAGAGAGGATTCACTCATGTTCATTCCGATTAAGCATCTGGGACAAACCCAGCCAGCGTGTCAGGGTGGCAGAGGAAGGGGCATTGAAAAAGGATGTCAGCAACCCCAGAGATCTTCCCCTAGTCTAAGACCTCTCCCCAAGCTACTGGATAGCTCCTTACTTGTGGACTCTCTGCCCTTAAGAGTTCTTGTTAAGCCAGTGTTTCTCAGTCTTGGCAACTTTAAGATGTGTGGACTTTAACTCCCAGAATTCATGGCTGGCTGGGGAAGCCTGGGAATTGAAGTCCACACATCGTAAAATTGCCAAGGTTGAGAAACACTTTGTTAAGCCATGAGAACCAAGCAAAAGTGAGTTAGTAGAGTCCAGAGATAGTAACATGGATGAATGAATGGAATCCCTTCAGGCTGCAAATCAGGATAGTTTTTAAATGTTTCCCGACACTTAAAAGGAAGGGTTCCCCTTAATGTACGTAAACATTCTTTCATTCTCTTTCTCACACACATCAAAGCCTAGGGAAAGAGGATGTTTGCCCCTGTGTTCCTGCTGAATCACGAAAACAGATTTCCCTATGAAAGAGATGAGCAAGAATTTACAAGTAAATTTCACACTATTTCTCAAGAATTTGCAGATAGACGTTTTCCATCACTCTGCAAGGGTTAATCAGCTCACTAATACAAGAAAGTCTGTGTCACACCCAACAATAGTTTCATGAATAGTCCCAATCTATGAGTCATTATCACTGACTGTATCGCCTGCAGTTTACAGAGATGGTAGTCCCATATGTAGGGGTGATGTTTTGGAAAAGCTGGTCTATAGCCACTGTTTTTCTAACTGCCATCCTTGTCCTTTTTTTGCAGACGGTGTGTGTCAGATGGTAGTGATGCTACTGAGTCTCTATGAAGGACTCTGGGCTGCACCCAACCCCCGACTAAAGCCTATAGACCCCCGGAGTGAGTTTGATTCCATTGTCATCTTGGCCAGAAACCTGCTAAGTGACACCAAGACCCTCTTCAACCACTTTGTAAGTCCAGCAGCCTTCCCTGTCCATTGGGTGGCTAATAAATTAATAATAATAATAATAATAATAATAATAATAATAATAATAATGATGCTTATATCCTGCAACAATATCTTTAACACCATCAAACAACATCTACCTGCCCCAGGTCCTTGAGGAGGACTCGATCGGTAGATAAAAATGCCAAATCCAGTCTAAACATCTGGCTGACTATGCGAACAACAATAACAACAGCATCTAGTTGAAAACAAGCTCTTTCCATCTGAGCAGAAAGGAAACCACCCAAACAGCAGAGGAACAAAAGATCACCTCCTAACTGAAAATAAGATTTTGAAAAACTGCAAGAAAAGGAAGACCAACTTGAATGTAGCTTGGATTGATTACAAGAAGGCATTTGACTCCCTGCCGAATGATTGGATA